GCAGTTGAGCGGCCTTAGCATATCATTAGCGTATTATGCTTTGGTTGAATGGACAACTGGACACGTAGCATATTAGGCTTTTATTATATAGGATAATAAAAGGGTAATATGCAAATCAACTGAACGGTGGAACGAACAGTTGCCATGATGCGTACTGACCACCAGGAGGCAGTCGCTCAATGCAGGAGCTGCTGCCCCCTGGTGGTTAGTGTGCTCCCACAGGGGGAGTGCCACTCAGCCAGAAGCCCTGAGCTGGGCTCAAGGCCAGTGAGCACAGCAGCAGTGGCAGGAGCCTCTCCCACCTCTGCGGCAGTCAGTTAGACATCTCCTAAGGACTCTAGGACTGTGAGAGGGTGCGGGCAGGGATGAGGGACCCCCTCCCCCCGCAAGGCACAAATCTCGTGCACCGGGCCTCTAGTATTGTTATAATTGTGTATTTATAATTCATTAATCTCTTACTGTGCCTAATTTATACATTAAACTTTATCATGGGTATCTCTATATCCTATCTAATAAAAGAGAAATATGGTAATTGGCGTACGACCGCTACCCTTCCCATTGGCTAATCAGCGAGATATGCAAATTAACTGCCAGCCAAGATGGCGGCCGGCAGTCAGGCAGCTTGAAACTAACATGGGGCTTGCTTGCTTCAGTGACGGAGGAAACCAATGCTCCCCGCCTGCTTTGCCGGCCTCTAAGCCTGCAGTTTAAGAAACATTGTAACAAATATAGAAGCTAAACAAAACCCCAGAAACCTGCTTTCAGCGAGGCTGGGGTCTTAGAGCTGGAGTTATACAGTGTTTCGACTATAGAACCGAAACAAACAAGATACCTTCTTTCAGCAGCAGAAGCCTCAGAGCTGGAGCCAGAGCTAAAGCTGGCCCAGAATAAAAAAGAAAAAGAAAAAAAGGAGCAGTTGGGAGCTTCAGTCGGCTTGAAAACAGCCCTCAGCCCCTCACCCAGACTGGCCAGGCACCCCAGTGGGGACCCCCACCCTGAAGGGTGTGTGACCAGCTGCAAACAACCATCTTCCCCTCACCCAGGCTGGCCAGGCACCCCAGTGGGGACCCCCACCCTGATCCAGGACACCCTTCAGGGCAAACCAGCCAGCCCCACCCATGCACCAGGCCTCTATCCTATATAGTAAAAGGGTAATATGCCTCCCAGCACCGGGATCAGCGGAGCCGAGAGGCCTCCTGGCACTGGGATCAGCATGTCAGGGGGCAGCACCCAAACCCCCTGATCACTCTGCGGCTCTGTGTGTGACAGGGTGCAGCGCCTCAACCCCCTGATCAGCCCTACTCTGTGTGTGACAGGGGAAGGCGCCCCAACCCCGCCCCCCCCGCCCCCCCCCCCCCCACGGGCCCTGCTCTGTGTGTGACGGGGTAGAGCCATAACCTCCCCATCGGCCCTGCCCTGAGTGTGAGAGTGGCGGCGCCCCAACCACCTGCCCTAACCACCTGATCGGCCCTGCTCTGTGGGTGATAGAGGGCAGCGCCCCAACCCCCCGCCCCCATGGGCCCTGCTCTGTGTGTGATGGGGTAGAGCCATAACCTCCCCATCGGCCCTGCCATGAGTGTGACAGTGGCGGCGCCCCAACCTCCTGATCGACCCTGCTCTGTGGGTGATAGAGGGCAGCGCCCCAACCCCCTGATCTGCCCTGCCTTGAGTGTGACAGGGGGCGGTGCCCCAACTCCCCTATCGGCCCTACTCTGTGCATGACAGGGGGAGCTCCCCAACCCCTTGACTGACCCTGCTCTGTGCGTGACAGGGTACGGAGCCCCAACCCCCCTGATGGGCCCTGCTCTGTGCGTGACAGGGGGTAGCGCCCCAATCCCCTGATTGGCCCTGCTCTGTGCATGACAGGGGGTATGGCGCCCCAACCCCCCTGATGGGCCCTGCTCTGTGCGTGACAGGGGGTGGGGCCGCAATCTCCCCATCAACCCTGCCTTGAGTGTGACAGGGGGCGGTGCCCCAACTCCCCAATCGGCCCTACCCTGAGCATGACTGAGGGTGGCATCGCAACCTCCCGATCTGCCCTGCTCTGTGCATGACAGGGGAAGGTGCCCCAACTCCCCAACTGGCCCTGCTCTGAGCCCGACCAGGGGCTGTACCTAGAGATTGGGCCTGCCCTCTGCCACCCGGGAGCAGGCCTAAGCCAGCAGGTCGTTATCTCCCGAGGGGTCCCAGACTGCGAGAGGGCACAGGCCAGGCTGAGGGACTCCCCTCCCCCCCCGAGTGCACAAATTTTTGTGCACCGGGCCTCTAGTATATATATAAAAGCCAAAGCGACTGTTATGACCAATCCACGAGAATGACCGGTTGACCAGTCATTATGACGTGCACTGACCACCAGGGGGCAAACACTCAATGCAGGAGCAGTCCCCTTGGTGATCAGTGTGCTCCCATAGCCAACCTCCCGTAAGCTGGCCAACCTCCTGCAGTCCCTTGCTGTGATCCCTCTACCTGGCCGGCCACGACTGACCCTGATTGGAACTGGGTGAAATGGCCCCAACCGGCCCCAATCGCCCACCAGGCCAAAGGACCCTACCCGTGCACGAATTCGTGCACCAGGCCTCTAGTGTATATATAAGAGGAAACATAGTGCAAGTATATAATAGGGTTCAATACTACCCCAGTTTCAGGTGCCCACTGGTGGTCTTTTTTAAATTTAATACTAGAGACCAGTCCACAAAACTGCCCCCTGGTGGTCAGTGCATAACAGTGGTTTGCTGTTTGGTCAACTGCATATTAGGCTTTATTATCAAGGATATTTTTATTGATATCAGGAAGAGGAAGGGAGAGAGAGATAGAAACATCAATGATGAGAGAGAATCATTGATCAGCTGCCTTCCGCATACCCCACACTGGGGATCGAGCCCGCAACCTGGGCATGTGCCCTGACTGGGAATCAAACCTATGACCTCCTGGTTCATAGGTCAATGCTCAACCACTGAGCCACGCTGACCAGGCCACTGGTGGTCTTGGTACGTATCCCCTGCAGATAAGGGGGATCTACTGTGTGTATGTGTATAATCACTAGGTTATTCTACTATGCAGATGAGGTTAAGAACCTCTGAACTAGATTACACATTTCTTAGGTACAGTGACTTGTTTTCGTTTGCTACATCTTCCCTGCAACACCAAGAATAGCAACTGAATCGATGTTGCCAAGAGACTACATAGGGGTATTAAGCTATGGTTCACAGCCTATGATGCAACAGTGAACACTGCAGTATCCTTTGACTCAAATGCACAGAAATATAAATTCACTTTCTCTTCATTTTCTTACTGATAAAGGGTGAGAGGCTCAATATATTTGGTATGTCCTACTTAAAATGTCAAGTTTTTATTTCATTTTGTTTAATATTGTGTACAAATACTCAAACACTGGGTATTTTTTTGTGTGCTTCCTAATACTTTCACCTTCTAGGGATGGGACCAGCCATGAGAATGATTTTTTTTCCCATGGTAACTCTACTTTTATTCTACTTAAAGCACATGTGCAATTATTTGGATATATATTTTCTACATGCTTACACATATTTAGAAGCTTCAATTCTCTTCTAAGCAGCATTCTTAAAAAACAGTAAACTGCCTGGCCAGTGTTACTCAGTGGTTGAGTGTTGACTTATGAATCAGGAGGTCACTGTTCGATTCCCTGTCAGGGCATGTGCCCAGGTTGCGGGCTCAATTCCCAGTGTGGGGTGTGCAGGAGGGAGCTGATCAATGATTCTCTCTCATCGATACTTCTTTCTCTCTCTCCCTCTTCTTTCTTCTCTGACATCAATAAAAATATTAATGAAATAAAATAAAAACAGTAAACACATAATATTATGTGGGTGATCTTTCCCAGGCAAGTTGACATTGTCCTAAGAGAACAGGGGCAAGATACATTTTTGCAACCTCTAGGAAAAAGAGTCCATAGATTTTGTTTTTATCCTCACCTCAGAATATATTTATTGATTTTAGAGAGAGAGGAAGGGGGAGAGAAAGAGAGAGAGAGAGAGGGAGAGAGAGAGAAACATCCATCAGTTTCCTCCCTTGCTGGCTCTGAGTGGGGATCAAACCAACAGGACGACGCTCCATCCAACTAAGCCACCTGGCCAGGGCCTGTATATATTTTAAATTACGTGACAGAGATCTACAAAGAACTTGGTAACACATGATGCTACTTAATAACTTACTTCAGCTAGTTCTGCATGATACACCTGGATCCCCTGACCTTCTCCTTAAGCCCAGAAGGGGAGAGCAGCAGGACAGCCTTATACATTAGTAACAGCTCACATACTTGGAATATATTAATTTATCCTTCAGTTTTGCTTTCTTCAAGATATACTTTCTCAATAAGTATGATTCTTATGTTTCCAAGTATGGATTACAGTCAGGACAAGGAATTCCAGTCATATGGGACAAGAGGAGGAAAGCTGGTTCTTCATATTGATATATCCCAAGACTTCAGAGACTATGACTCAGTCATCGAAGCAAGACCTGAGAATCATCAATCTGCAAAACCAGTGTAACTTAATTTCCCAGTTTCCCCTGGGGGGCATTTGGGGATCATTTAATGTTATGTATTGTTCAACAAACAGATATGTTTCCAGTCATGAATCATGAACTATTTTGCAGCTAATAAGTCCCACATCAAGTCAATGGAACATGGATAGTTAGGTGGAAAGAACACAATTAGATGTTTAAGGATGGGTAAAACACATGCAATTTGATATGTTTTATACACAAGGCACTGAAATAAACACTTTATTTTTAAACCTTTGCCTGGTGCACTTAAGCAAAGGTCTTGATTGTGTAGGGTTTTTAATGACAATCTCCGACTGTGCATTTCTGATGTTTTCTGAAGGACACAACAAACTGTCAAGAATACCGCAATGCTGATGCAATCCAACTAGAAAGCTATGAATTAAAGGTTTAATTTGGGGACTTATTTTTCACTTTACTTTTTATATTAATTGGGAGGAAAACTCATAATGACCATCTCTTACCTGAGCAGGCTTCTTCTGAACAACTTGTTGTGGCTAAAAGAGAACAACAACAAAAAAAGAACTGTTATAGTTTAAGAGAAAACATATCTAATGAAAAAGAATTATACATGATTTTAAACATAGACATGCCTCTGCAAATAATGATAAAAATGTTAAGATTCAAAAGGTTTCTTTATTCATGGTCTCTATATGTTAAGGAAATAAAATGCAGGTTATCTCTTTTAAAACAATTCTCAATTAAAGTCTGGCATGCATACCAGCTATATCAAAATGAACTTATTTCATTTACTTTTTTTTTTGTTGTTGTTGCTGTTTTTTTGTCTGAATACCATAACACTTGAGGAGGAAACAGGCCTAATTTGTTAATATTTTTTTTTAAAGAGCTTTATTGAGATTTAATGCACATACCATAAAATTCACACATATGCAGTGTATAATGAAAAGTTTTTAGTATATTCACAGGATTTCACAATCATCATCACAATCTAATCTTAGAATATTTTCACCTCATCTAAAAGAAACCTCATACACTTTATCAGCCACTCCCCATTTCTTCTTGCCTCCCTAGCCACCCTCCCATCCCTAACTCACCACTAACCTACTTTCTGGCTCTACAAATTTGCCTTCGTGTAAATGGAAGCATGCAATAAATGGTATTTTGTGGTCTGGCAGCTTTCACTTAGCACATTTACTAGGACTGTCCATGTTGCAGCATGTTATCAGTGGTTCTTCCTTTGCATTGCCAAATAATATTTCATTGTATGAACATACTACATTTTGTTTACCCATCCACGAGTTGATGGACATTTGGGTTGTTCCCACCTTTTGGCTATCATAAATAATGCTGCTATGAACATATGTATATATAAGTTATAATGTGGATACATGTTCATTTCTCTTAAAAATGTACATATATATTTAGGAGCAGAATTTCTGAGTCACACAGGTAACTATGCTGAACTTTTTGAAGAACTGCCAGGTAGTTTTCTAAAGCAGTGGCACTATTTCACATTCCTACCAGCAATACATGAGGGTTCCAACTTCTCTAAAACTTGTCACTGTCTGCCTTTTAAACATCCTACGGGTGTAAAATTGAATATCATTGTTGTTCTGATTTGAATTTCTCTAATGACTAATGATGTTGAGCATCTCTTCATGTGCTTATTGTCCATTTGTATATTGTCTTTAAAGGAATAGCTATTCAAATCTTTTGCTCATTTTAAAATTTGTCTTTCCATATTGAGTTGTAAGAGTTCTTTATGCATTCTGGGTACAAGTCTCATCAGAATATGGGTGGGTTTGTTCACTTTCTTGATGGTGTCACTTGCAAGTACCATCTATACCAATGTCTTATCCTATTTAATAAAAGGCTAATATGCAAATAGACCGAACGCAGAACAACCAAACAACTGGTTGCTATGATGTGCGCCAACCACCAGGGGGTGCGTGCGGAACATGGCGGGCGTCAGCAGCAGGAGGCAGAGCATGGAACTTGGCAGGCGTCAGCCGCGGTGGGATGGTGGAGCAGGTGAGCGGGGACACCAAACCAAGGCTGGTCGCTGTCATTGGGGTGAGCCTCTGGTGGTTACTGTAGATTCTTTGCTCCCGTGCGCCGCAGTCCCACCCACTGCTAACACCCGGAGCTGGTGCCACAGCTTCTGCTCGCACCCGCTGCTGGTGCCTGGCACCAGCCTGAATCACCCGAGGGCTTCTCCACCTCCTCCTGCTCCTGAGGGGCAATCGGGGCAGTAGCTGCTGCTCACATCCACTGACAGTGCCGGCCCCACTTGCACCCACTGCTGGTGCTGGCCCCAATCATTCCATGCCACCAGCGGGTGCGAGTGGGGCGGGTGCTGTCAGCATGTGGGAGCTGCAGTGGCGGGAGCGGGGCTGCCAGCAGACAGGGGACCAGGGGCCAGGAGGGGGTGTGGAGGATGGGCCGAGACCCGCCCCTGTGCCCACCACAGCCTTGTGGCCCACAGTTCTTTTCAAGGTGCACGAATTCGTGCACTGAGCCCCTAGTTTATATATATCTATTTAATTCTTATGTCTGTATCTATCTATATCTATTTAATTCTGTTTGCAGAGCAAAACTCTTCACTTTTAAGTCAAACACCTGAGGGAAGTTTTCTACCCAGCCTACATTAATTTCCCAAGAATTAGAGTATTAGAAAAATATTTGTTATTCTTTGTATTGTAAAAGGCGGACTGGAAGCCCCCACTTTCCGATGGATTCCTTCCAGTACTCACCCTCCTGTCTGAATCCCATAAACCTCCCTTGTTCTGTCTATACGTCACTGAGATTTGAGAATACCGCTGAGCCACTCTGATGTGGAGAGTGACATGCTGTCATGGTTGCAATGGGAAAAAATTTGCTACAGTTCTCCCAAGTAACGGAAGTTAGGATACATGCACTATGTCGTGGAAGGAAGGGACAGAGTGCCTATTCATTTTTCTTCCTCTCGGAATTTCTGTGATGCTGTATATTTTATTGCTGCCGTATTAAACGCATACAAAAATCATCGGAACCTTATTTTTCTAAGATGGGAACAAACTAAACAAAAACGACATGCAAAATGCTTTTGTGCCCTGAAAAAAAGTTCTTTCCTTTGACGTTAAATCATAGCAGAGCTGACATGATAAAAGCCCAGGCTTCGAGATGATGTTTTCTCCAGGTGGAATGGACCAAGGACAAGGAGGACTTCTTGCCTTTGGGGATTCCCAAGTGTGCGCTAGGAGAGAAGTGTTCATTTCAAAAGAATCAAAAGAATCCTTTGTCAGAACACACCGCTCTTCTTCCTCTCTTTCTTCCTGCCATCCCACCTGTGCACACTTACTCCCAAACTGCTTCAAATCCGCACGCATTCCTGCAGGCTGACAGCTTCCTACTGCTGGGGGGACCCCCTCCTTTCTTGGCTGAGGATCCTGCATTCACGTGACTCCTGCACACTGCGGGCTCAATGAAATCCTCCGCGAGGGCTGCCAGCTCCCCCAATTTTCCATGAATTAGGTCCTGACACTTCAATGAGGGGAAAGACAATGTCTGAAACGCTCCCAGCCCTGGCGCCCGGCCTAGTGCGCGTCACACAACTTCCACCAGCTGCCCGCCCTTCCACAGGGCACTTCACCAAACAAACAGACCCTTGAAGGCTCTCAATGCTGCTCGGGGTGACGGCTGCCAGGATGTTTTCCCAGCCTCTGGCACCCACTGGCTCCAGACTGCGCCGGGAAAGTTTTCTGTTGTTGTTATTTTGTTTTTATTTTTTATGAATGGCTCTGGTAGAAAAATGCAGACGGAAGCATAATACTGCTGCCATTCATAAAAAGGGAAAGGAAACGCGCGGCTGTCTGGAAATCTTCTAGGATAAGAGCAAGCGGCAAGACGCTCGTCTCCCTGGAGGCATCTCCTGGCCCAGAACTGGATGTTGTTACCCAGAAACCAGTTGCCCCTCAGGGCTCCCATCATTACAAACATGGCTGATCACTATATATTTTATACAAAGAACCAAAGAATATCCATCATGCATGTTAATCTTTGCTGTGGTTATCAGTGTATTATCCTGCACCCTAAAAAAAAATGAGGAATATTTTGCACATGCATTTCCCACATAAAAGCTTAAAATCCTTTCCGTTTTTAACATCAGCCCCCTTGTGACTAGAAGAGGCCAGGCCTTCATATGTCCATTTGCTCACAGGGAAACTAACTAAGGCACGGGGAATTGAAACGATTTCCCCAAGACCGTCTTCTAAACCCACGTCTTCTAATCCTCTTCATCCTCTGAATAATGATCTGAGGAAACTCATTCACATCCTTTAAAAAAAAAAAAAAAAAGTCGAATCTGATCCAATCCAGGGGTATAGGGACTCCTCCTGGCCTTGCTTTCCACCTCTGGATTCTCCTCCTCCCCTGGGTCTCAGGGCGCCTGCTGCCATCGCAGCTCGGGCAGCCCGCTCCCTCAGCGAAGCCGGCTCTGCGTCTCCCGGGGCTTGCAGACAAAAAGTGAACCCACGAGGACGAGAGTCAGGCCCACAGATCCCGACCCTCTTGGAGACTCTTCCTCCGCTATTGATTGTGGAGAGTCTGAGGACATCCCTTTTACAGGCGTGGCTTTCATAACAACCATTCTACTGAACGGAGACCAAAGCCCACCCAATTGCTTATTGAGACAATGCTGAAGATTCCGTTTCTAATAAGTTGGTGCACATGGTAGGTTTGGGCACTTTGTCGACGTGGCACGCGAAACTCACAGAGCACTGAGATGTTGCATTCCAGATATTAAGAGATTGTTACACTTTTCAGAAGCCTGTCATGAAAACCTCTCCTTTTAGAAGTTGCGTTTAAACTTCTAAAATACAATGGGCGAAAGAGAGCCTCCTCCCAGGACAAAACATCAACAACAACAAAGGACTTTGAAGAAATGCTTTGGATTAATATAGTGTTAAGCGAAAACTCCGAGGAGAACTAACCCTGTCAATCAAATGTAGATTAAGAAAGGCCCTCTCAAACCACAGGGACGTGTAGTTTGCTGCAGGTTAATCCTTAGCCAAATTCAAAGTGTAATCTTTAAACAAATAAATAGTATTGCCTGCAAATAGCTTAGGATACGGCATGCTAAGAAAGTGCAAAGGATACCAAAAACAGAAAAACCTTTTTATTATTATTATTACTTCTGAAACCATACAGCAAACCAGATTTCTCCAAATGAAAGGGGACATGTTACTGCATTTTTAAGGTCCACAGACTATTTTGTTTTTTTCAGATTTTGTAGAAAGACACTTTTGCAGGAAGTGGTCTGCCACACCAGCTGTTTCAGAATAATTAAGGGGCTCCCCATGCCTCCTGGGAGTCCAACCTATGGTTCCTGGGAGTCTAGGTATTTCAAAGCTGTTGCTTAGACAGCTAAGCCACCCCTTCTAGTAGGAATTTAAAGAAAATCCTTCATAACAAAGGGTCTAGACATTATTAGCTCATTTGACTACTAATCTCAACATGAAATGAAAGGAGGCTTGAACTGGGCTTACCAACTTAAGTT